AAAATGTAGACCTTAGTAGTCACCTGAACTAGAGTAAATAAAAATAAAATGTAATGTTTCGTTTACTCTAGATTATTTTTGCTTAAACAAGTTGCATGACTATGGAGACCCGAAAGGGACCCCCCCCCCCCCCCCCCCCCCCTCGCCCCGTACATGACTGTGCAAAGCACATGGACTTTCTTCCCATTTTTTCTAGTGTTTGTTGATGTGAGGTAATTAAGTAAGTTGTTTGAGTCTGGGAGAAATAAAACAAAGTTAATTCAATTTCAAATTTTAATTTAATTCAGAAATTCAATATTAATAATTAATAATCTCTAAACTGAAAGTTGATTCATAGCCTTTCTGATGTTTGTGGATTTTTTTCACTTATGCTATTTATAGTTACCATATATGTAGCAGAAGCCAATGACTTCCAATAAAGCCAATATAGACAATATCCAACCAGCAGAAAAATTGTCAATCAGAACAACCCAGTATATTCCTGCCTGGGTAACACACACACACACATATATTAAAACCAGGTGAAGGAGTTTGACATAAAGACAACGGTAGTATTCTCTCTTCAGTACCTGCGTCACACACACTAGACCAAGGAGGAACAGAAGAATACATGTTCCCACTGAAACAAAAGGGCGTTTGTTCACGAGGATTTCAGGAAATGAATCAGACAGGCTGGTGGTGATCACCTCTGACAACAGGAGGGGAAAACAGAGGGAAAATGAATATCACTTTTGTTGCACACACACACACACACAACTAAAGTAGTAGTGATAGTTAACGTGGGCTGACCTGTCAATCCAAACTGAGATTGCAGGCCAATAACTGCAAGCATTAGAAAGAACAAGAAGGACCACAGAGGGGAAACAGGAAGTGTAGTCATGGCATCTGGATAAACAATGAAGGCCAGTGCAAACCCTAAATGAAGGGGAAAAAAAATACAACGTCAAATGAAACTGAGCAACATTATCACTAAAATAAATGCTTGCGCGTGGGGTGGGTGGGGGGTTCTCACCTTCAGACAGCATGCTTTCAACAGACCTTCCATAGGTAAAAGACATGTGACCCAGCACTGAGAAGACAGTGATGCCTGCTGCCACACTAAATACTAGATAATTAAAAATGATATTTATTTTAACAAAATGAAACAATGGGCGAACTAGTAAGTAAGTAAGTAATGTGAAGATGTGTATAAATATTTGTAAGTGTTCTACTTTCTGTGTCTTGTGTTAACTGAAATTAAACACATGCAAATATACACATACATTATTTAGTTAGTTTAGTCTAGTTGTGAATTAAAACCACACATTTTAAAATTTAAAATTTATAGTCAATTCATGAGGAGGATTGAATTTCAAACTGTGTTCATAGCAAAATCATTTCCTACCATGGTTAAAGATGCAGATGAAAACAGAGTCCAAAACCACGTTGTTGTGGAAGTTGTTATAGGACGTATAGGTGGCAACTCCACCCCAACCAATGGCAAGGGAATAAAACGTCTGAGTTGCTGCATCCTTCCAGATCTACAACACAATATATTCAATTAGAGTCGACTAGGAATCACGGTGTGTATTTCACCGTGGTGTATATTAGGAACTTGAACTCCCAGATTCAGACCTCTACATCAGTCAATTTAGTGAAGTTAATTGGTGAACCGATAAAGAAATCTATTCCGCTTTTGGCTCCCTCTAGTGTGACTCCTCTGATTAGCAGGATAAGCATCACCACGTAGGGGAATATTGAAGTCACATACATAACCTGTAAAGACAAAGATAACGTAAAGTAAAGACATTTTAAAATATAATAATCATGTAAGCACTATAAGTGTTAGTTGGGCGGATGGTCATATATTTATGTTTCAAAAAATACGTTTGTCAGTGTAAATACTGAGTCACCTTTTTTTCCCCTTCTGCATGTTTTAAAGAAGAATGAATCGAGAACTATAGCTTGTAAATTAGAAAAATATACAAATGGCAAAAATAACAATTAATCAACTCATATTATCAGAAGGCTATTATTTTTTAAACAAGGAGATGCATCTTACTAATTTAACACTCAACACTCCAAGCTACGGTGCGTGGGCCAGATTCAGTCCCGGTATTCCGGACCGGTAAACACTGGTACACAGTGCGTTAAAGGCTAGTGTTTCATTCATTACAGTGAAGACTGTCATTTCAGTTGATGCCACTAGATGGTGGAAGACAATCAAATATTCCAAATTTTCTTTGACACTTTAGGTTTAATCTGGTACATTCCGTTCATTAGTTCGTCCAAACACTCATCCACATAGTACATCCAACCAAATTCTGAACCTGATTTTGGCCCGTGAGCTAGTTCAGCTTGACCGGTGTATATTTTGACATGACAATTCAAAGTGAATGCTAACATACTTTTCCCGATGACTTGATGCCTTTGATGACCACCACTGCGACAACAATGGAGCTCAGCAGCAGACAGAGGGCCAGGTGCCAGACCACAGATCCAGTTTGATCCAGACCACTGGATCTTTGTAGAACAACATCACTTTGAGGTATAAGAAAAGGGAAAGATTGACACTTGAGTTAAAGTACATCATATATTTGTGCATTTAAATTATATAATTTTGTTAAATCCTTACTCCCAATATTGTTCACTCAGACTCGGACTGTTTTGCTGAGTACCGTTGGGCATTAAAACAGCACACATACTACAGGAAACTGCAAAAAAATAAAAAAATAAACACGACAGCTTTAAAACTTCAAAAATAGACACCATTTTAGTTGTAGTAAAGCAAACAAAAAAAAAATCCATGACTTAGAATAAGCAAAGGGACCTTAACCCATGTTGCTGCTGTTGCTGTAGGTCCAGCTGGAAGTGTTGGACCAGGGCAAAGAAGACTGGAGGGAGGCAAACATGAAGTAGGAGCTGTAGGCGATGAGGACGTTATAATAAATTGCCACCAGTCCATTCACTATAACCATAGAAAATCCCACACCTGAAGATATATATAGAAATATATTAAAATGTATTTTTAACACCAGTGTGTGTGTGTGTTCAATTTATTAGGTGCCCATTACATTACTGTCATGTCCATTAGAGATACATGTAGTTTCCATTTCAGGCTTACCCTTCAATATGGGAATCGCTCCCCACATATTGATTGGTCCTTGGCTGCAGAACTGTCCAATAGCAGCCTCCAGTAAGAAGAGAGGGAGTCCACAGACGAACAGAATCAGGAAATAGGGAATGAGAAAAACTCCTGATCAGAAAAAAAAAATATTAGAAAATGTTTTTTTTTTAATTGAATACTCACACTTCTACAGTAACCAAATAGCAAATACCTCCTCCATTTTTATAGGCAGTGTGTGGAAATTTCCAGATATTGTCAAGGCCAATGATACAGCCAATCAGAGACAAAAGATATTCCGATTTGCTGTTCCAGTTTCCACGTTCAGTTTTTGGGTCATCAACAAGATTCTCCTGCTCAGAACATAATTAAACAAGTTTAGGGTGAATGCGAAAGTATGTTCTGCTTTTAACCCATCACCAAAGTGAACAGTTGGCAGCTTTAAGCACCTCGGGAGCAGTTTGTGGGGATGGTGCCTTGCTCAGAGGAACTCAGTGGGAACTTGGCAGCTGGTGGACTCGAACCTGAAGCCTTCCGGACCCAAGTCTGCTTCCTTTACCACTGCCTTGTGTACTGTAACTAGGACTCTATTATGCCTAACCAACTGTAATGACTCTAAAATGACTCATTGAAAAATAATATAATAAATATAATATAATATAATTCTAGCTGCTGAGGATAGTTATTAGTCAAAAATTACAACAACACATGAAAGTTGCCAGTGGTCTCTAGAGGAGACTGGGGAATATTTTCAAATTATTATTATTACATTTATTTACAGTATATCAAAATATATTCAAGGTATCATAGTTGCCTTTGTTTATTAAAAAAAAGAATGAACAGCACATGATGATGTATCAACATTCTGTTAATACTATGTTATACTGCACATGTTTCTACAGTGTACTGTAAAAACGTAAACAATTTGACCTGATCCTGATGAACGTCTGAGTCCTTGGTCTTGGTGAAGGGAGACATGTTTCAGTTTGTCCAGACTTATGCCCGTCCGTCTTGAACAACAAAAAGACCTGAAGTGACAAGATCATTGGGGATTGTGAGTTTTAAAGCAACAGTCCCAGCCCACTCATAAAATTTCAAGCAGTGTAAACAGTCCTTCTGTTACAGTAATTAACATGTATTAACATACATAATTAGTCGTGTCTATGAAGATCCTGTCATCCAGGTCATGGTGCAGTTGCCTAACAGAACTTTTCAACCTCATATAATCAGTCCTTAAGCTTTGATATTTGATTAACCATGCTATTTAACAAAGAGGCACGTTCTGATGAGAACCTACGACCCATCAGGCTCTTAACAACTGTTAACAATTTCCTAGTTGACCCCAAGGCCTTAACCCTCAGGGCGGAGCTGAAGTAGCTTTATTCTTTCACAACTAGAGTATATATTTGCTGTACTCCCCACCACCAGTTAGAACTGACGAAGTGTAATGTCTGCTTTTAGAAAATTCACGTGCAGTTGCCTAATAGAACTTTTCAACCTCATATAATCAGTTCTTAAGCTTTGATATTTGATTAACCATGCTATTCTTTAAGAAATTCAACACACTTCACCACTTTTCCATTTGGTTTAATATTTGTTTTACATTTATTTGTGGAGATTTTAATAATTAAACATTGTATCATTACAATGGAGCAAAAATAGAGCAGAAATGAATAAACAACTCACATAATTGACAGTCATTATAATTGGAAGCCACTGCATGTAATGTCTGCTTTTAGAAAATTCACGTGCAGTTGCCTAATAGAACTTTTCAACCTCATATAATCAGTTCTTAAGCTTTGATATTTGATTAACCATGCTATTCTTTAAGAAATTCAACACACTTCACCACTTTTCCATTTGGTTTAATATTTGTTTTACATTTATTTGTGGAGATTTTAATAATTAAACATTGTATCATTACAATGTAGACATTATTTAATGTATAAATAGAGCAGAAATGAATAAACAACTCACATAATTGACAGTCACTATAATTGGAAGCCACTGCATATTTTCCAGCTATTTTCCATATCCTTATAATTTCAGAGCTTTTTAAAAACCAGTTTAATCTAGAATCAGACTGTGTGTGGCCTTCAGCTGTGTTTTTCTCTGTTAATTTGGGTTTAGGTTTTAGTAATGTAAGTGGTTAATAAAAACATCCAGAGGAAACAAAAAAGGAGCCAGAGGAAAAACAGTGTGAACAGTGTGTGCACTGTCAGGTCACACATATAGGTAGTACAGTAAATATAACTGAATCACTAAGCACACAGGCACGGCGACTCTAAAATGTTTAAGTTGAGCTACAGGTGACGTTGCGATCGAGTGATATTAGCATAATATGTAACATCTGTAAGAATCGTTATCAGGTTTTTCCTCCGAAAAATAAAAATCCGATAACGCAATGCCTGAGTTTTGCCAAATGATGTGTGCCCTAAAAATAGTTTTGGGGATAAACGGCTGTAAATTAAAGGGAAAGTCACTAGATGGCAGCATTGCAGCTCATTTAATTTATCTCCTAATCATACAGTGGTGTGTATAGATAAATGCAATAAATAACACCAGGCCTATATCGGTATTGGTTGATATCAGAATCGGAAATTGGATAATATCGGCATATCAGATATCGGCAAAAAGTTAATATCGGACATCCCTACAAATGAAGTCACATTATGTATAACTACACTACATACAGTCTATACTGTATAAGCGAGTGCTTTGTTATTAGGAAATACATGGCTTGACTTTTCTATTGAATATATTGTATATGCTTACCTGGCTTATTGTCAGTGCTTTAGACTGATATTGTTTTTTTTTATTGAGGAAATTATGTGATTACAAGTCTACGCCTCTCCTGCACTGTTCCTAATGAGGAAAGGTGGCCCAGGCTGGTTTTGGCATCTTTGAAAAAATGATTTATGTGTCATGTTGTCATAAATGATGTGGAGGTAATTCTTCTGCAGCAGAGGAGGCCTGGAACCTCGTGTTTGAGCATAATACATACATAATACAGCTTCAAGCTAAAACTTTCTGAGATTGTATCTGAAGGATAGACATTCACTCAAAGAACATGGAATATGCATGTCAGGAAAATAAAGCAGAGAGAGTATTACACCAAACCCGAATACATTTTATACATTATACATTTTATACATCATACATTTTATTGGCTGGTATAAAAACACAGACAAGGAATTTGACCTCGTCTTCTTCTGTGACTCTCTCACAGTTGAATAAAGAATAAATAAAACAAAGCACAGAGTCTATGGGCTGACAGGAGATATACAGTAAACAGAACCCACAGAATGGGATTTCACATGAAAAGCATAAACAACTTAAATTGAAAATTAGAACGATTAAATAACAAAATTAGAGCTGTAGTTCCACCAGGATTCAAACTAAAACGTTCTCCCTTTACTGCTCTGAAAGAAGAACCTCTGAATTTGAATTTATACTGTATTAATACAGGTGTGGTTTTATTATGGCTCTGGGACACAATTGCTGACGTAAAAACCACAGATAAACCTTAATTATTCTACTGCCTTACTTATTCTGTCTGTCTCTCTGCATGTCTGTCTATCCAGATAATGTTAGGGTCCAAAGTAGTTTTATACAGACCCACCTGAGTGAGGTCAGAACACCAAAGACACCTCAGAGCCAAGAGCTGCTGATAACGTTCACATCGACATGCGATTTGTTCTCGAGGGTTCTCAGGTCACAGGACTGTACGTCTGCGTAACGTTCTCCTCGATGGATGTCCAGGTAGGGATGCCAGTCTTTTGATGGGGAGCACAATGACTTGAAACGCTGAAATATGTATGACAACAGTCATGAGTCAGGTTTTTTCTACGCACACATATACATACACACACATACACACACTTACCTGCCAGGGGCTTCCTTCTGTCCTTATCAACTTATAAATAGCAAAGCCAGGGATCCAGAGGAGAATGAACACAACCATGCACCAGCCCAAAGCCAGGCCCCAGGCTGGGTACTCCACGTTTCCATATGAAGCTGGCTCTAATGTCATCAAAGACCAGACCAGGATCACCTGAACAACACAGACACTTTTTTCACTAAAATATAAAATGGAGAAATAGGCATTCTGTTCTTTTGAGTCTTTTTTTTTTTTTAGATTCTGGTACAACATCAAGGCCAACATCAAATGTTTAATTTTAATATTCAACATATTGTTTGTATTGCAAATCTGTAATAGTTAGTATTTTTTTTTAACTAAACCTAAACATAGACCTAAATAAAAAACAAACGAAAATAAACTAAAATTAATTCTTTTAAGTGGGCAAAGACGCAGGTTATGGTGCAAAAAATATTAGCCAGAATTCAGGAGTTCTCTGAATTCTTTGTTAATGAAAAACAATGCATGAAATAAAATCACATTTTGTTTTCATAAATAAACCTTTTGTCTTTCTGTCTTACTCTCTATTCTATTTCGTCTGATACGGTTGTACAAACAACCAATTTTTATGTGCTTCTGTGTAATTTCCTGGGAAAATCTTCTGTCTTTTATGAAATACATTTTTTTTCATATAAATAAAGAAAAACATCAAACTAATTGTACAGTCATACTCACTGTTATTATACTGGGACTGATGAAAAACCAACATGCTCTCCACCACAGCCAGAAACAAAAACTCTTTCTTCCAAGCATCATCTCGATGTCTTTAATAAAACGGTTCCCTCCTGGAAATATTGAGAGAAGACAAGAAGAACATGAGGTCCACCCTGATTGGATATGAGGAATAACAAATATATTTCCTTTTGTCCCGTTTACCGTATATGTAGATGACGCCAATAATCTCCAACAGGACCAAAACAAGAAGCACCCATGTGGCAACGAACTGGTCGATCAGCGTCACCCAGTATATTCCTGCCTAACATACAGTATAAATACTGAGCAGGTCGACAGTCACAAATGTCAGTGGTGTTACTGTCACGCTGACCTACCTGTGTGACACACGGTAAACCAAGGAGAAATAGGAAAGTGCATGTGGTCACAGTCAGAACGGCGTGTTTATTTTTGAACACTTTAGGGAATGCATCTTTCAGGCAGGTGGTGATCACCTCTGATGACAAACGAGTAAAAGGGGAGAGGTACGAATACAGAAGCAAAAGAAACTGTGTTTAAACCTGGCATTTAACTGGAAATCAAGACTAAAGAAGTGAGATTAAACAGGTTTAGTTTCCAAATCGATTTTCAAATTTCCACATAATTTGCTTCAATTTCTGACAAAAAGGTAGAAAATAAAACTCACGATTATAAGGTAAATCGGACAAAAAACATTTAATTGTTTTCTTTCACAAAGTTGCAAAAATGTAAACTAATTTGACCATTGATACCTGCAACAATATTCTAAAAATGTGTGGAAAGTGCAAGTTTAAAACCCACCCGAGTGTGTGTGGAACCGCTCAGCTAAGCTAAGACTAAGCTTAGTCTAAATCTCCCGAGCCATTTCTAAAATAATGTTACGTAACATCTCTATTTTGGTGATTTGCATGTTATTAAAAACTAAATAAATACAGATATATACATATATTTTGCATTGGATTAATAAGGCAAACCTTTCTGGCAGTGACATTTCCAGTAGTTAAAGACTGTATTTAATGCTGTAAGCTGTGAGTATAATATCAGTGTGTCTGGCCTCGGGTGTACAGAATATGAACATGAAACTAAACCAAGGGAAGTAATAAATAAATAAATAAATAAATAAAAAGACAACTCTCACCTATCCCTGCAAACTGGGAGTCCAGGCCAACTGTCAGAAGCATGACAAAGAACAAGACGGACCACAGAGGTGATACGGGAAGCTTGGACAAAGCATCTGGATATGCAATGAAGGCCAGACCAAACCCTGCACAAAGACAAATAATATAAAAAAAAACATAAAAAAAAGGAGAGACATTTTCTGTCTATCCTAATTATTTGCCAGTGTTGATTGGTTGACTGACCTTCTTTTACAACCTGTTCAACAGGAATTTCGTAGCTATGAGCCATGTGACCCAGAATTGAAAATATTGCAAAACCTGCAAGTACACTGGTGCCTAAAAAAGATGGAAAGAGTAATAGGATAAGAAAATATTTTTGAGTTATAATATATTTATTATTATATTTATATGTAATATATTTAAGTCATATCCTCACATGTTGTAGTGTGTTTATATGTATGTGTACATATATTTTATAAATATATCATATCTATCTATCTATGTATGTTTTCTATAATACCCCGTGCACCAACCTGCATTAGTCAGTGTCACCACAAATGTGTCTTTGAACACATTGTTTTGGAAGTTGTTGTATGAAGCCAGGGTCATGACTCCACCCCAGCCAATAGACAGAGAATAAAAGGTCTGGGTCGCTGCACTTTTCCAGGTCTGAGAACACACACACACACACACACGTGTCTGAGACCTGTGTATCTGTCCTGTATGTTTAACAAATGTCACATATTATGCTGTTATTTATCACAAAAACTGGTAGGCTTCCAACCTCAGCTTCAGTCAGTTTAGTCATATTCGACTGTGAACCGATGTAGAACTCAATCCCGTCCATAGCGCCCTCCAGTGTCACACCTCGGATCAGCAGGATAAAGATGACAGCGTAGGGAAATGTGGCTGTAAAATACACAACCTAAGAAAAAAAATGTTTGCACAAATTACAACTGCAAAATTTGAGATTAAATTACATATTTCTTCTCGTGTGTAGTGTCCACTCCAGCCATTTTGGAGCTGAGGGCGAGGTAATGGTTTGGCGCCCCCTATCACCTCCACAGAAATTGTTTTTGTGGAGGTGTGATGTCACACTTACCTTCCCTGATGACTTGATGCCTCTGATGAGAGCTGCTGTAACAATGATGGAGCTCAGCAGCAGACACAGGGCCAGGTGCCAGACCACAGGTCCAGTTTCGTCCAGACCACTGGACCTTTGTAGAGCAACACGACTGTGGGGGAGGATGACAAATGACCGTACTGACAATGAAGCAAGAGAAAGCACTGGATGGATTTTTTGTACACTTTATCTAAAGTAAATATTTTCTTACTCCCAGTATTGTTCACTTGGACTCTGCAAGTGAACAGTCGTTGATACATTTGATAAATGGCAGGTGACGTTCTCCTGAGTCACATTAACCCCTAACACCTCACTCATGTTACAAGGCACTGGAAGAACACAAAAGTAAATATTATTTTATTTGTAAAATATTTCAGTGCAGATGATGAATACACACTCTGTGTATGCGCTGAGAAAAGTACCTGGTATTGTGTTGCTACAGTTAGCGTCGGCCCAGTCGCCGCAGTCAAACCAGGGCAGAGGTGACTGGAAGGAGGCGAACATGTAGTACAAGCTGTAGGAGAGGATGACGTTATAGTAAATGGACACGATCAGAGTCACCATGACCATGGCCGCACCCACACCTGTGGTTGGAGAGAGAGAGAGAGAGAGATTGATCTGTCCTGTGGAATTTATCCTTTCAAATCCAGTTAGAACATGAATATATATTTTTAGCTAAAGTCCTTTCTTAAAACAAAAACCAAACAACTTATAATAAGATAGTACTTTTATAGTCTCAAACTAACGTTTTACTTTTTGATTTCAATGGTCAGATGTGCGTGACTCTCGTCTCACCCTGCAGTAACTTTTTGATTTCAATGCGTGACTCTCGTCTCACCCTGCAGTATAGGCACTGCTCTCCATATGTTAATGGGCCCTTGGCTGCAGAACTGGCCGATAGAACTCTCCAGAAAGAAAAGTGGGATTCCAGTCACCACCAACATCACAAAGTAAGGAATGAGAAAAGCTCCTGTGACAGAATAACGACAAAGATGCATGTTATTATTTCATGGTACATGTGAAAATCATTTAAAGTAACATTTATTGACTCGAAGACAAACCTCCTCCATTTTTGTAGGCCAAATATGGAAACCTCCAGATGTTTCCCAGTCCAACGGCGTAGCCGATTGTAGAGAGGATGTACTCCTTCTTACTGGCCCAGCTTCCTCGTTCGTTGGTCTCTTCCCCACCTTCATCCTTTGGGTCCTGCTCGTGAAAAAGTGTAAAATTGTAAAATTGTTGACATTTTATAAAGCAGTTTCACTAACAACAAATAATTTCCAGACATAGGAAACATAGGAAAACTTACTAAAAGAGAGTAAATACTAGAGTTGGTACTTTGATAATGAACTAAAAAATGTATCAGGCAAAAAGGTCAAACGTTCTAGTGTTTAGATCATGGGGTGTCCGCACTTTTTTGGCTCGGGAGCTGCTATTGAAATGACCAAGTCAAAGTTTAAACCTTAATTATATATTTACTCATATAAACTGAACATGCTTTATATACAGAGTACTGATTTAAGGCATGTAGCTGTTTGGTACACTATATGGTCACTACTAGTCATGATAGAGTTGTATTTTATTTTTTTCAGTTTAATCTCTCCTGATCTACCATCACTCACTTTGCAATCTGCTGGTAGATCCCCGTCTACTGATTGGGCCGCCCTGGTGTAGATGTTTTGACATGCATCACAGGAGGCAGCTCAGTCCCATGTGTTTTAGGCATCAGTTTTTAAATATGTTAATGTTTACAGAAAATGTTCTTTTTTTTGTTTTAAAATTAAATGTCAATAATAAAATTAGAGTTAGAATTTGCTGAAAAGTGTCAGAGGTGGCAGGGATGAAACTGCAGTAAAACTGATCACAGGAAACATTATGGTGAACTTTCACAAAAACAATGTTTTAAAAATAAGAAAATGAGCAATTCATTGTTTTAAAAGTACACACAGTAAAGAAATCTGGTCATTAACTGCATTTTCACAATTAACCAATGCACTGGAGAAACACAGACCAGCAGAGTGTTTGAAATAACGAAGGTCCACTGAGGTCTTACCTGATCGACCACTCCAGGGTTCCTGATGATTAAATCCCTCAGATTGTTCCAGCCAACTTTCCTCATCTCTTTTCACCTGATACGAGACGTCCATACAGGAAATTCAAATAATTCAGCTCGGGCTGCTTTAAAGTACCTCCAAACATACACCTCCCCCAGACAAGGCAGTCAGGTATCCAGCCAATCACCTGCGCCGACGCCTCCTCCCCATAACCACACAGACGAAGTTGCACATGTAGTTTATTTTAGGCGATTAATAACCTGGGATTAGGGAAATGTTGTGATTTTTACAGATAATTTTAGACGTCTTCAGACGGTGTCTGGACAGTGTCATGCTGCTGTGACAAACCACGTGTTATCGTGTTATTATTCTACTCCTCCTTTGGGAGTGAGTGATAACAGCAGCGTGTCGTCAGTGTGGACTGATGGACAAAAGTGAAGAATTCAGGACAACCATGCAATGACAGCATATGATTTAGGTGAGTGACTCAGGGCCACTAACCCTGTGTCAACAACGCCCTGAGGCCACCGCTGTGACTGGTCATACACAGTGGTCATTCTGGTCAATGACATCCACTCATAATGACAGCACTTTGACCTGTGTACATACAGTACGTGATGACACAGAGAGATACAGAGTTATAGTATTATTGTGACCAGATGATTAAAGACAAACTTTCATATATACTGTATATATATATATATATATATATATATACTTATTTTTTAAGCCTTTAAATTATTTGTGTTGAAGGCATTTGAGAATAATTTGTTTTCAACTTTTAGGTCTTAAAGGCTATAATTATACCAATTATATTAAAAGTAAAATGTATTTTTACCAAACTAATTCAATTATTTCTATTATATATATACATATATATATCTATATACATATTTCTGTGTGTATTTTGTTTACAACCCTTTTATAATATTTACCACTTTTCAAATGACATTAAAACATGTTTAATGACCTTTCTCCCTCTTGTCATTATTACTGAGAAAAAAAAAAACATAGTAAAAACTACTGTGTTAGCAGACTAACAAGTTAGTCAAATGTTTTCATCAGGGCAGTGACTAAAGAATGAAATCCCAGTTCTTCCTCTTATCACTAACTGAGTGAACAAGTTGTTTTCTGAATAAAGAGTAAGGAGTGGCTTCAGTCATCAGTCATGTTTCCGCCACAGCCTGATCACTGTGAACCTCTGACACACACCTCAGCTGGAATATGACATCATCAAGTGGTCCTGGGTAAGAAAACTGTAAATATGGTCATCCTGTGTCATAATTTGTCCTGTGTCAGAACCTGCCATATTTTCACAGCCCGTTGTGATCAACACTCGTGTAAGAAATAAGGATTCTGACAGTAATACCAGGTGTTTCTGGTCCCTCATCAGGACGAAGGATGTTCAGAGGGTTGAGCCAGCAAAGAAGTAAAACAACATAACTCAAACGTTCCTGTGGTTAACTAGAGTGTTTGCATTTGGAATTATAAGATTCAGATGTAAAGAGTAGACTATCCTTGATGAATGCTTTCCTAACTTCTCCGCCCACAGTGTGGAGCCACTCCTCCTGCTGTTAATGCACTTTGTTACAACATGACTTTGTACATTAAAGGGTGTTTCTTTATTATTATTATTATTATTATTTAGTTTATTTATTGGATTATTGGAAAAAAATGTTTTTTTTATTTTTCGCAGTTTCAAGTTCCAAGCTTCTCTAATAAATGCATTTCATTTATTTTTCTCAAAGGCCAAGGACGAAAAAAGTATTCATTGTTCCGATCAGACAGAAACAATCTTTATGACAGTCTACAACATTTGCAGGAAGTAGAAGGAAGTGAGTAACACCCGCTGTTATCTCCACTGAGGCTCACAGTGATTGTTGTGTTTTCAGTTCCCTGTGATCCAAGCGGAGCTTACATTTGCTTTACTTTAAGCTCCAGTAGGAATGTCTCCATATTAAGTGAGATTTTAGACAATAAGTAACTCCTAACATGGTACGTTAATGTATTTTACAAGAGGATGTGACTCCAGTCAGCAGTTTTATTACACTAATGGACTACCATCTAACAGTGCTTTGTTGTTGGATTTACAGAAACTCACAACTAACTCACACACATTTCATCACTAGATAATTCACGCAGCTGTATTTTAGCACACACTGAGCCAGGCCTCATAATTTTAAAAAAGTTCAGCATCATTAGCATAGTAGTTTTTTTGTTTTCCCGATCAGGGAACCTCATCTCTAATCTGGATTAGTTAATAGGAGTGAGGGCGCATTACTTTGCAGTGGAGCTGAACTAGTTTAGCTGCGGAGTGAAGTTTTCACTATTATGCAGCAGTGTGAGAACAGTATGAATCACATCAAAACATCACTTTAAATCCTTTCTGTGTTTGATAATCATGCAATTGACAGACATTTATTGATTAGCATTAGCATCAGTTGACAGGTGAACAGGTTTACAGATAAATGGCAGTGTCTCTCTGTTCACTGTACCTGCTTATTGTACAAGAAAAACACGTACTGACGTATTAAATGCAAATAACTAAAGATGTATTTATATATGACACTAAAGCTAATTCAATATGAAACACTACTTTTAACTATGTACAAAGTTGTAGTTGTCACAGAAACTGTGACGTTTGATATTAACCTACAAATACACTGTAGTCTGATTAAATGGGGTATATGTTCTACACGTTTAACTCTTGTTTGGATATTTGGATAAAGTTTTTTTGTTTCTGTGCAAAGCCAAAGACAATTGTTTCACAAAAGCAATCTGTTATATTGTGTTGCATGTCTTCAACTTGACATGTTATTTGTGCATTTCTGAGTATTTTACCCTACACTGGGTTAAATCTCAATGGTGGAAGCCATCCTCAAGCACTGGGACGACTCCGTAGGGATGTCTTCGCGGGCTATTTCATTTCCGTCCAGGCGCAGCGTCAGCAGTTTGGAGAAACTGGTGACGTTCATAAAACTGCAGAAACTACCAAGGGTGAACTCTGGAACCAAAAAAAAAAAAAGAATAAGTTGAATGGCTATTTCAGAGAAATGTTATATTATATTTATATAGCAAGTTAAATAATTCCTAATTTCAATATATTTAATGCACGTATTTGTGTATAGACTATATGTCCCACAGTTGGGAAAATACATTGATCTATATATGTATTTTATTTTGTAGGTTTTGTAAGAATTCCAGTTTTCTAAATGCAGTAACTGTGAACGTGTTGACACTCGTGACCTTTCAACAGCCCTGTTTACAAAAGGAGGGTTCACTGGTCTTTCATATCGACTCCTGCTCTTTGTGATACAATTTCACAAAGTATTTTTTCTTTTTCAAGGCAGTGCCAGACTGTATTAAACCAGAGTGATTTCCAAAGACAATGAAGCTTTCTGCACCACAGTTGCATTGTGGTTTCTAATGCAACTCAACCGTAAGTCCTCAGAATTCAGCAGACGATTCCGCCCTTGGTTTTGATGCACAGAGATTTCTTCAGATTATCTTAATCTCTCCATTACTTCAATACCTGTAGACGCTAACTGACTTTAACGTGGTGCTGCCACTGTCCTTAAATTTGAAACAATTCTTAAAATGCCAAATTCTTTTTAAAAATACTACTACTTACTAATCGTGCGTACTTTTGGACAAGGGAAGGAAACCAGAGAACTTGTAGTAGTAAACCTACACTATCGTAAAAAAATATACAACTAACAAATATTGGCAACTTTCTATATTTCTGTACATTTCAGTGCAACAGCGCCTCAAGTGGACCACCAGTAAAATGGCTTTGATTAGCCCTACAATACAATAGCCACTATAGTGAATGCTAACGTTAACTGAAGCTCAGGTTCTTAATATTTATCATCTGATCACATCAAAAAGCATCAAAAAATTTTTTACCACCTATTAAACTTTTTACTGGACTTTTGTGTCATTTTGTCTCACACAGATTTAATTGTGTTCCACCTCTGCTTCTGAATAATAATAATAATTATGATAATAATTATAATACTGCATTAATGGATACTTCTTTCAGCGTTTACCTTTTATCTGGTTTGCCTGCAGGTACAGATGTTGCAGTGTGTTGCTGACTATTGGAATTCTCTCCAGTTTGTTGAAGCTCAGGTCCAGCTCCACCAGCCCCGTCACATTAAAGGTGTTGGCAGGAATACCTTTGTCTGTCAGCTGGTTATGAGACATTCTCACATACTGCAGCTGCGTGAATTGGCCCAGAAAGCCTTCTGGGACAGAGTCAATGGAGTTAAAATCCAAGTAGAGCTGGTGCAGATGTTCGGGAAGCCCCTCTGGGACCTGGGATTGTTTCATAAAAAGTTTGAACCGGACACTGTTTGACCATATAATGTGACAGAAAACCAGGACGTTACCTTTGTCAGCTTGTTCCCGTGGACGTCCAGCAGTGTTAGAGATTTCAAGGCTTTGAGTGACATGCTCATATCTGTGACTGCATTATCATGGAGACACAAGATGGTGAGGTTGTCCATTCCCTCCATATCAGCTGGTGTTACCTGTAGCCGAACATACAATAACAATGAAGACCAACGTCGTTGTTTTCTGAAATAGTGTCGACACAAAACTGTGCGGTGTTACCTTTTCAATCCTGTTATGATTGACTCTCAGGTCGCGCAGTGAACGTGGCAGGTTGGAGGGAATGCTGCTCAGGTTGTTGTGTTGCAGATATAAACGCTCCAGACGCTCCAGCTTCAGGAATACCTTAGAACGCAGCAGAGAAGCAGCAACAACTGCATATCAGCAAATAATAGTAAAAAGGTATTAATATGTAAACCATAGATTAATAACTAGGGATGTCCGATATTATCGGCCCGATATTAGCGTATTATGTAATATCTGTAAGAATCGTCATCAGATTTTCTTCTGATAATGAAAACATGCCTGTGTTTCGCCAAATGACGTGTGCCCTAAAAATAGTTTTGGGGATAAACGGTTGTATATGAAAGTGATATTCACTAGATGGCAGCATTGCAGCTCATTTAATTATTCTCATACTCATACAGCGGTTTGTAGAGATAAATATTACCAGGCCTATATCAGTATCGGTTGATATCGGAATTGGAAATTAAGGGTTAGGACAATATTGGCATATCAGACATTTTTAAATAATTGGCAAAAACAAATTGGTAAAAAAAATGTTATCAGTGAAAAAACACATGCAGAATATGGCAGTAACACAAGTTAAAGAATACAGAGCTGCTTTCAAAATAACCATGAGAACAAGTAGGTTGGGGCGCAGCGCCCCCCTGTGGAGTGATACAGTCAGGGGAGGTTGATTTTTATAAACAGTGATAACTGTGTGATAATTTTAGTCAGTAATGATTTAAAACATTCTTCTTTCACAGGGACTTCATCAGTGCACATGCTGCAGTAGTTCATTTTCTCCCGTTGTTTCTTTGACCTGTTGTGGATTTACCTTGGCACCAATGCCTTCAGACGTCAGCTGGTTATGGTGCATCATCAGCCACACCAGATTGGTGGCATTGACCAGGGTAGACTCCGGCACAGCAGTGATGGCATTGTTTTGAAGGTACAGGTACTTGACATGGGAGGGGACCTCTGGCATGGCCGTCAGGCCCCGCCCATCACAATACATGGCAACAGGGAAGGTGGGGGGGCAGTCACACACTTCAGGACACCACCCTGCTGGGGCATCTGCCTGCAGGGAGCCATAATAGTTTCCTTGACTGTGTCGGCTGAACAGCCACGAGAAAGGGTCCCGTCCGTCGCAGAGTGAGAGTGGAAGTAGAGCAGACAAGACGACGATCACCAGACGCATGGTCACAGTCACACAGACGTACTCTGAAATCCAATCACCCAAATGAGACAAGTTCAACGATTAGTTTAACAGTACGTTATATACACCGTCATCTACTACAACATACTGATGAAAGATGTGCCAAAGAAAAGAAGAAACAATAAAGTAATTGTTTTCTTCAGCCTGTGCCGACATCCATTTCTCATTAACGTGCCCCATGTATGTTCTAGAGTCTGAGATGCTTCACAAAGAAATGTCCATCATAGGAAAATGAGCGCTCACATTTTCACGGAGACAAACTGAACGTTAAGTCCAAAGATCAGTGCAGGAATGACCTTCAGTTTTCAACTGCATGCAAAGGGACAAATTCTTAGGGGTCTTAATCCAGACAGGAAGGAAGGAAAAAAAGAAGAAAAAAAAATCTTAACATGAATAATGCCCTTGTACGTTGCTCTTACTGCCAGTCCAGGTCTGTGGGAAACCTTCCTGTAATGATTTCCGTAGGACAAAAATGTGTCCCCCCTGTAAATGTGACTCCATCATCATCATCATGTATATTTACCTCCTATAAGGTTTCATACAACGGCAGCATGAAGAAAGACACACGTCCATGCACATACATGCACATCCAAACACGCACACCTACCTGAACACAGAGACTGGACCTCTTTGTCCCCCTTATGTCTCAGGAGTGGAGGGGACTCAGACAATCACTTTGTTAAAGAACCTTTCATCCCCTCCCTGCTTTCCCTCTCCCCTCTGCCCCACCCCCCCTGTTGCCTGTTGGTTCCTTCCACCCTAAATTCCGCCCTCCTGCACCCCATTTTGTCCAGTCCACCCCACACCCCCAGTTTGGTGCCTCTTTTCCCCTTTGATGTGAGGGGATGTAGCGGCTGTGAGGGGCTTCTCTCCTCTGTCTGCACTGGGTCCAGTTCCTCTCTGTCCACCTTCAGTTTTGGTATTTTCTCTGGGAGTTAAAATGCTTATTAATGTAGCTTTACTTTTTTTTTTTTTTTGAACCACTAAATGGAACACTGTCGTCTCACACCTACTGTTGTACCCTGAAGGCACCGGGAGTCATTTACAACTCTCGTACTCTTCTACATTATCATTGGACTAATGTTTATGCAGCGCATAAACAATTGTATTCCTGAGCTTCTTCATTCAGTGAAAGAGTAGATCATTATTGTTGGGGGGTATGGAAAAAACTACAGCGATGTTTACGTGTTTGTTTTACCCCACTAATAAAAGCCCCGTGTGGCAGATCCAAGGACTTATGGATGGATCCCCCCTCTCTAACAACCTTGCATGTTGTCAGGGGTTAACGTAAACCATGTGTGATGCTCTCTTCATGTTGTCTGTCTGGACTTAATGTGGGCCTCTTCCTGCCTCTGCATCTTTTCTGCTCACAGGGGGGTCTGTCTTCACTTTTATCCGCCCTCGCACTCTCCATCACATTCTTTCTTTTTTTCCCCTGTTATCATGAAACACAGGCTATGCGTCAGGAGCAGTTCCACTCTGTGCATTCAAATGCACACCATATGAAAATATGCTTTTCATTCACAAATTGTAATGTTTCACTTTGCTCTTGTTTGAATGCACCTCTCTCACATATGCTCCGTGTTTAGTGTTGTCTTCATTCTTTTTTGTGCTGAAACTCTCCGTTTTGCCAAGAACTGGACATGATGGTCGTTAGTGCACGACCAGCTGCGCACAAAATGTGGAAACTGAAAGATAAAAAAAATAAACATGTAATGAATTGAGCGTTATTTAAAACAAAGAACAACAACAACAAAAAAAATCTTTTTACATTTGTTGATCATTTTTCTTTACGGACCTCTGCTGCTTTTGGAAACTGCATACAGAAAAGGGTTTTGTTTGTTTTTTTTGTTTGCACATCTGTGGTGAGCAGATGCTGGTAGAAGAGACTCAAACAGTCCATGACTTCACCTTTTGTATGTGCATTGGTCTAATTTGTCCTTACAGATTTATTTCTCTGTCAAAAGGCCCAGATGTTTTATGTAACCTGGATGAACTTTGACCTCTGACTCTCCGTTGATGACAAACTTATGAGTCCCATGAAGTTTGTTCACCATGAAAGACGCAGCTTTGCCTCTGTTCTCCTTATAGTGTGTGTGTGTGAAGGTGAAATGTGAAAATACTTATCATTGAGTTTCTGTATCCACGCTCTTCTGCAGTATCTAGGTCATGAGCAGCAGCAGGGATCAGGGGACCCGGCCTTTTCCTCCATGTGTCTGGGGAATTTTCAGGAAATTGAATTTTCAAACAAAAAGATTTGTAGTTAAATTAATTTATAACCAGCTGCACCAACCCTTATATCAACTAACAACACATCAAGCAGCACATCAAACAGCCACTTACTTTGAATTCAAATAGAAACTAAAACATATATTTTTCCTATATAATAATATTCTTATATATTCATAATGTTTTATGCCCAAGACTCATAATTTTTTTAGTAATTGTCACAACAAATCTTCTTCCTCTTCACTATAAACTAAAAATACATACTTATATCTCAGATTTAACCTCACATGTAGGAGAAACACAGCGTTGGTGCAAGTTTTCTCTGGATAGTTTGGCTCCCTGAGGTAACTTAAACCACAACACCCGGGGGCAAAGGGGCAACATGCAACCAGGCAATAGGAAGCAGATGTCCACACACACACACACACACACACACACACACACACACATGTATATATACACACCGTAGATCTTACACAGATGTGAATCATTTCTTGCTTCTCAACATTTTCTCAGAGATAAAAATGGCATTTTCTTTGTTAGGCATCAGTGTTGGTAACCAAGTTAATTATGGGTGAAGACTAAATTCTGGTTAAATTTATGTTTTTTTTTTTTCAAATGCTGAAAACAGAAATTCTAATTACATACCAGAGAGTGTCCCGGTGACCCAGCGGCCTATGTTTAGAACCGTAGTGTTGCTGTGAAACTCAGTCAGATCCTGGTTTCATTAAAAAACGTGTCTTAAGGATATTACATTTTTTATTTATTTACAGGGTCTCTGTCCTTAATCTGTTTTAAGTTACTTTAAAATGCGAATTATTCGTTTTTATTATAGATCTGGAGTAGTGTAGTTTACAACCGTTAACCGTAACAAGCAGATAATGAATGGTGAAATGCAGCCCTCTAGTGTTGGTTAAAGGAAACACGAAAACAAGAGCTGGGTTACATACGTTTTCACTTAGTTTTAATCTATAAAATGGTTATTTTTTGATGATCAGGAGTGAATTTAAACAAAAAATCCTAATGTTAAAAAATAATTTTAACAACAAAGCAACCATCAATAGAAAAGTTGTTGTTCATGTTAGAAAGACAAAATGCAAAATATTTGAAAAAATAAATATTTTAAGGTATAGAAGATTTAGTGACATCTAGTGGTGATACTCACACGGTTCCGTTCTGTTGTGGTACAAAATGGTGCCATTTGTCTGCTATACACTAGGGTACGGTGGCCCTGACGTCGAAACACAAGGACGTTTCTGAAACACAACAACATTAGAGACGTCTTCCATTTTTTTTAACAGAGTTTAAAAGTCGTGCATGGACACAGCTAAGTAGTAACAGGAATTGAAGTTCCATTGTCAGCTTCTGCCCAATCAGAATCAAGAAGTGTTGCCCCTATCTTACCGTAATTTGAAATGTGTTTTTTATTTATTTTTAATGTTGTCATGATTTCTCTAATGTCGTTCTGCTTTTTGTAGTCATTGTGTTTTGTGACCTTCTGGGCCACCGTACCAGGACCTTCACAATTAAATAATAAAAAAGAAAAGAAATAATGTTTATGGTGTGTTGAAAAAAAAAAAAAACATGCACAGACTTTTTCTCTCTCTTTTTTTTGTCTTTTTTCCCCTAACCCTCTCTTCCAGACTCTTGGCAGTTCTTCTCCTGACACAGCTGAGCCACATTCACTCTGGAGCTCTGACTGTTGTTGTCTGTGCTCCTAATTCTTTTTTTACGTGTGACATCTGCGACTGTCAAAAACTAAGTGTGCAAACTTGCCACTTAGTTAGTCTGCAATGAGTCCGACCACCGGTGAATTAGCTGTTAGCTATTAAGTACAGGGAACCACCGTGTGACGAGGCCTCCTGCTGGAAAGTGTGACAGTGTCGGTATGACGTTCACCTTGAGTACAGGCCCTGACAATGATTTCCTACCCGTTGTTGGAGTGCAGTTGGTAACAGCTCGCTTACAGGGAAACACCCGAGGGCAAACATTTGTAAAAGAAAAAAATCTGTGAAAGGACAGTGACGCATTTTCAGATTTGGCAAGAACCTCAACCTAATTGTTTATTACCAAACACCTGCACACGTCTATTCCAGGCACTGCCCTCCTGATTTTCCATAGACATAAATGAAATCAAACGGAATTTACAGTTAACCACTACAGTAGCTGACGTTGTAAATCGACATGTGACCTGTCCTTCTATGACTGTTACCGTTGGCCAGTCTTTGGATGATCTGATTAGGAAATATTGACTGGTTTATTTTACTTCCCACTCTCCACTTCGCCTCTGTTTTCACAGCACTTCCTCATGGGCTCAGTGGAGGAAGGATCTGGAAGCATTTTTCTCCGCTCTGCTCAGATGTTAGCAAGACGTTTCTACAGTACACTCACACTGGCAGCCAAGTACACGCAGATGGACACACAAAGGCGAATGGACACACAGAATGGTCTCTTTGGCTCCCCAGGTACTCCGTGGATGAATGTCTCCGCTCTCTCAAACACACACACACGTGCAGAGAAACACAGACTACTTTTTTTGCGAACAAGCTGCTTTTAGACATTATTATTTCATCTCCCTTCTTTTCCTCCAGCCGTCCTTCGTCAGCCTCCATGAGACACGTGTCCACCGACATGTGTTCAATTATTACTGGGCTGAAAGAACACAAATGGAAGAAGTGAGTGAGGGAAGATTATGGAGGAGGTCTGGGGTCGGTGATGTGGGCAGCGTTTTTTAAAAGGGGAATGTGTCAGAGTCAGTGTGCAAACAGTGCTGCCACACACACACACACACACACACACAGAGACACACACACAGACACAGTCAAAACCTTAATTCTTTAGGGAAATACTGAAACCTTCTGCAGCTCCTGCGTTTTAGGTGAGTCATTACTGCTTGTTTCATGTGTGTGAAAATACTGGCACAACTGCAAAGTGTTCAAAGATACGACGTGTGTTCGAGAACAGCTGTTTGGATGATGCATAATTACATAACACGGATAATCTCCTAGAAAACCTTTATGTGCCGGAAAGGAAGGAGAGGAAAACTGAATAGAACACGTCGATCAACTACAGTGAAACTTCCTGATGACGATGCAAACAACTAGTAATCAACTAATGTCACTCTGTTTGCAGGAAAATACAAACATTTCCTCCCTGATTATACTTTTTATTACATCATTTTTCACAGATTGATTACTTATTTCCTTTCCTCTTCAGTGAATTTGTTTTCCCTTTCACTGATTTACTATTGGACCATAATGCAATAGTACAGAAACACTGCACGTCACCATTCATCTCCTCTTATTAAAAGTAACTTATTATTATTATTATTATTATTATTATTATTATTATTATTATTATAAAAGCCTAATCTTATCTAAACTAATCTAACCTGAATACTTTTCTCTTCTCCAACATTTCCATTAACACAATGACATGTTTGCAGTCATTAGTTATATGGGTCAACACTAATGCGTGTCAGTCAGACACTCCGAGCCCCGAGTTCATGTTCCTCCGACTCCACTCCCTTCATTAGAGTAATTAAAGAAGTGACGGAGTCGTTCTACAGCCACACGTGACTCTATAAAAACTTTTACGAGCTCAGAACTCAACTCCAACTGCTGACGTGTTACGATTACATCATTAACACCTTCATTGTATTTGCAGGCTTGATTTCCCAGCAGCCACCAGCAGCCATGCTTCTCCGGAGCAGCACTGTGTTCCTGCTGCTCCTGTGTTTCTATCACTCGGGCTCAGCCATTGTTGTAGCTGACAATGATTACGGCGGTGTTCCTCTGTGGGTCGACCGCCTGTTGGGGGAGCCCAGTGTGCTGAGTCTGCAGGGGCGTTTGGACTCCGCCTGGTTCCGAGCCAACAACCCGCAGACCTGCCCTCAACAATGTGACTGCCCCATCCAGTGGCCCACGGCACTTTACTGTGACCACAGAGGTTTGGCAGAAATCCCCCAGACCCTCCCCAACAGAACTGAGTATTTATTTCTACAGGTAAGAAAACACACTGATCGCCACACAATCTGTACTGGATTAGAAGTTGAAGAGAAAAATGTCTTTTTTCTCAGGACAACAACATTACATCTTTGTCTTCTGCCGTGCTGGCCAACAATACTGGGCTGCGCTGGATGATCCTGGACCACAACCTCCTGGGGAGCAGAGAGCTGGCTGCAGCAGCCCTGCAGCAGCAGTCCAAACTCTGCTACCTTTTTGCGAACCATAACCACCTGACGTCAGTGCCCAGAGGGCTACCAGCTGGACTCCGGCAGCTGCGATTGGCCCACAACCAAATCAGCAGCATCAGTCCTGGGGCTTTTAAAAACCTGCACAACCTGACCGTGCTGCTGCTGCAGGGAAACAGGCTGAAAACCATCAAAGAAGAAGACTTCCTCGGTAACACACTCCTGCCATCCGCCGTACTGATGCACTGGGCTGTACATGGTGTTTGATGTGACGATCTTTCACTGTCTCTTACAGGATTGGTCAGTTTGAATCTATTGCATCTTGGCGGGAACTCGTTGTCCTCTGTGCCCAGCCACCTGCCGTCCTCGGTCCAGCAGCTCTACCTGTCCAACAACTCCCTGTCTAAGGTGGACTCGGACAGTTTCCAGGGACTGCTCCAACTGAAGTACCTACGTCTGAGTCAGTGCGGTTTGAAAAGTGGCGAAATCAAACCGTGGGCTTTCAACATCTCCTCCCTGATTGAACTGGACCTGTCTCATAACAAACTGACCAGCGTTCCCACCGTCCCTACCACGCTGCTGTACCTCTATCTGGAGGCCAATGACATACAAGGTGAGGTGTGACGTGTTTCACACATAGGAAGAACACATGTAAACGCACTCTGAATGAGTATGTGCTGTTGAAAAGTGCAGGTTTCCTCCAACAGAGAATTTCTGCCACAGATTTCACTTGCATGGTGAGTCGTGTGGGTGAAAAGCCTGAGGTGTGACATTTAAACACCACTGTGCAGAGGAAGCAACGAAAATGTCAAAAAAAGAAAAAAAGAAAAAGAAAAGACAAATAAAAGGAGCCCAGCCTCCTCCAGCACAGCAGTGGGAGGCTGGAGCTGGGAAAGTTGGAAGTGGAAGCAGAGCGTGAATAAGGGGAGAGGAGGGACTCCGAGAGGAGCAAAAACAGAGTGGAGGGTTTTAGTGTTGTGGGCAACAGTTGACCAGTAGGAAAAAAGTAAGTTGACGGTGAAAGGTGAGCTGGAGTAGTAACGAGAGAGTGGTACGAAAACATCTGTAACAGATTTAGGAGTGGATGCCAAGAGCACACGATGTACTTCTACTTCTCTCCTGTCTCCCCCTGCACTCTCTTAGTCTCTCTCTCTCTCTCTCTAGCCTTGTAGTCATGAGCCACATTTTTTCACATCACAGGTCCCTAGTAGCAGCAGATTCAACAGTGACCTGGTTTTGCAGTTTGGTCTCCCTCTGTCTGGCAGAGTGGATATACACCCGTTCTCTCTCTGTTTGTCAGTGTATGTGAGGCGGCAGACGACAGGGCAAGGAACCAATGAGACACACGAATGGCAAAGCACTTCCACCAAAACACACACCTCATCGTCTAGCTTGCGGTCTCACAGCTACACTTCCTGTTCCAAAGCACAGTCTGAAATAAAGTGAGACAGCAGAGGAGTGTGTCTTTGGATTCCTCTGTCGCCTCTGTTTTTTACCACAGTGCCTGCTGGACATCTAATGATGAACGCAGACTCTGTAACAAGAAGGCAGATGTTCACAGACGCCACACATTACAAAAACACAAGCACCGTTTCCACACAGCTGAAACCCTTTCCAAAGCTGCACGAACTACAGTCGGTACTTTTGTCGAACACAGACAGAAGCAAAGAAAAAAACATAGAGGAAAAGAGAACATTCTGTCTGTTTGACCACAGTCTTTCTTGATGCCAGGTTTAACACAGTTTTGCCAAGGTCTACCAGATAAAAAACTGTACTGAAATGAATGCTGGGAAATTAATACATTTATTTTTATCAGGTCAGATCGCATAAATAACTGTAATAAATCCCAATTAGTGGCATTATTATTATTATTATATTTATGTATTTATTTTTATTTATTTATGTATTTATTTAGCTGTTGAGCAGCTGATGTTTCTGTACAGAAAGAATCAGCAAAAACAATTCAAACAAAGGGCAACAAGTAGTTTCCACAGCCACAACAAGTTTTACTTCATGTATTTTTGGAAATCTACTTTTATTTGGAAACGACTTTTGCATTTATAGATCTGTATTTAAAGCACAGCGTGGTGTCGAGCACATGCTGCGTGAAGTTTGGACGTGACACAGTGAGGAAGTGAAGCGTCACTGGGGTGAAACACGGCTCTCTAAATTCTAACTGTTATGTAAAGTCGATCTGTTTGCCGTCTGTTTATCACAGAGGTCAACATGACGAGCTTCTGCAGAGAGGTGGGACCTGTGTCCTACTCCAGGATCAAAGTCCTCCGACTGGACGGAAACAAACTGTCCCACCACCAGCTGCCGCCCGACTGGTACTTCTGCCTGAGAGTACTCGAGAGTATTTACATCTGACTCCACCGACTACTACTATGGGTACCAACAGGATTGGACTCTTTTACTATTATGTACAACAACTCGTATTTTGTTCATTAAAAATCTGAAACCAGTAACGAAGACCAACTCGTTTAGACTTCAGTTTGTTGATGCAGAGCCTGAGGCCACAGCGAAAACTGACCGTCACTGGGATTTTTATCATAAAACCGTATAAATATTTTGATCAAAATCGTTTCTCCTGCCACCACTACATTCCCCAGGGTTTTCTCACATCCCATCTTTTTTAAGTTTACATATCTTCAGCAGTGTTGCACAGCTGTGTGTTATTACCAAGTAGGAACTGGGACAACTTCTTACTTCGGAGTCTGGGGAATAGTGTAATCTGGTTAAAGTGAGCTGTCTTTAGAGAAATGGAAATATGAAAAAAATGGTAACATTCAGTGGCTTCCCTTCAGAGAAGTTGTTGGACGGTCAACTACCAGAGGTTGACACATGTGGGAAATTTTTTTTTTCAGTAATTAGATTTTGGAACGGTTTCAAAGTTTGGGACGAAGCCTCAGTTCATCTTCATCTTCATTTTTATCTATCTTTAAAAAAATACTGAGGGGAAAAAACACACCAAGTCCTGTGTTGTGGTCCTGGGACAAAACTAAAAAAAAAAAAAAGTCATTTTAAAGGGTAGATTGTGAAGGATTTGGCTGGAACTCGAGGTAAAGAATGTAATTATATCTTCCTCGTCTGACTTTTCCTGTTCATGTAACTATAATAAACCAACCAACCATTTGTCTCCAGATACAAAGAGTGTTTCATCTGTCTAACCTAATCCAAATCATCTACTTTTTTTTACTCTATAGACAATGTTGTGTGTGTTCTTGTGTGTGTGTGTGTCTCAGGTTATTTTTCCAGGTGAGTCTGTGTCTAAGTGTGTGTCTTCGATGATTAATCAGACTCGTCCACAGTCTGGACTTCACACAGAGAGTTCATTCAAAGAACCAGTATTAAACATAAGAGTCAGTGTGAACTTGTTCCTAGTGACGACCAGACCACGGTGCACTGGTATGTATGAAGTCATGATGCATAAAAACAAGCTGAAGGCAGACTTTCACTGTTTCCATGTTGACACACAGAGGTTGGTAACGAAACACAGGCGGCCAAATCCTGAACAGAAGCTGTCTTTAAAGAAAAGCTTTCAACATGGCCGTCAGCTCTGTCCCACAGTGTCAGTTAAATGACACTATGCACTGGGCAGAAAGTCTTTGACTTTAGGGATGTAGAAATGG